AGTTGGAGTCAGTGCGGGGTTAGCCTAGCTTAGCATAAAGTCTGGAAATGGGGGTAAACAGCTAACCTGGCTATCCAGAGTTAAAAAATACACCAAATTAAAGTGATAGTTCAGATTATTTGACATGGGGTTGTGTGAGGTACTGATCTATAGTCAGTGTATTAGATTCAGTTCAGCTCCCAGTTTAGAGAAGCAGCAGGAGCATCGGCACAGAAGCTGAGTGATGAGCTGCTGTGGACAGGGCCATCCACAAAAACATGTTTTAGCAACTTTAAAAAAATACCCACAGAAAAAAGCTCATATCAGTTGAAGTGTTCACTTTATTTTGAATATTTCACCACTTTATCTGCCGTTAAAACGCCCTTTACTTTGGAACTACAGTATGTAAGTATTTGAGACAGACAAAGCTAGGCGAAGGCACGCTTGTGCATAGTAATACCGTTGTTCAACTGTTGAAAAAGTGTAGCTCCAAAGTAAAGTCTGACGGCAGATAAAGTGGTGAAAATATTCAAAATAAAGCGACACTTCAACTGATATGAGTTTGTTTCTGTGGGGTCCACAGCAGCTCATCACTCAGCTTCTGTACCGGTGCTCCTGCTGCTTCTCTAAACTGACGCTACTGCAGCTAATACACTCACTATAGATAAGTACCTCACACAACCCCACATCTAATACCCTGAACTATGACTTTAACAGACTGTATCTTGTTTGTTAACTCTGTCCAGAAACAGAGATGTTTTAGGTGGAATTATGTGCTGAAACTACTAACACTATACTCTGGACATTTCCTGTTGGACTAACCTGAGAACAATGAACACACAGACGAAAAATCATCTATCATCAGTGTCAAACATTACGTTTTAAGTCATACATCTTGAATCTACCTTAGACAATTTAAAAAAAATTACAGACTTTTAGCTCTCCAGTTGAAGTAGACTGTCTGTTGACTAATGCTGGTTTCAGTTCAGCTCTTTGAAGTAATTCTATATTTTATTTCAATGGAACTGTAAAGCATCCACCTCTTGGATCTAACCAAATCCAACTCACAGGCACTTTAAATTAAATAAAACATCATCAACTTATCGAACATTTGGCTACTTCCCTGGGCATGACTTTGTGACATGACTCTGTGCAACAGGCCATCACAGTAAAATGGAGGAAATGGATATTTTAAAAAGTTTTAACAATCTAATACTAATCCATCAGCAAGTTTTTTTTTTTCATACTCACATTAACATAAATCATTTTTAGAAGTGTTCCATAAATTAGTTTTGTTTGATACATCTGCCCATGATTGACCAACAACCTATCTGGGTTGTTCCCCACCTCTTACCCAGTCTCAGATGGGATGGGCTCCAGCCCCCTGCCCCTGTGACCCTCACAAGTTAGCAGGTATAGCTAATCAATGGATGGATGATATAATGGCAATAAGTTCATATCAGCTCACATACAGGCCCAGCAGGTCTGGCCCTGTTTTGATCGTGCGATGACGCTTGAGCAAGTCGAAGACACATGTTGTCATGTTCTTAATGTGAAGAATGCACCTCAACGCCCAAGGTATGCAAGAGGTTAAAGTCACTGTAACAATGAAATACCTATTTGAAGCAGCTGGAGACAGAGTATTCAGAAAGTCTTCACACCGCTTCAACTTCTTCACATTTTGTTATGTTGCCGTTTTAGACTAAAATCATTTAAATTCCTTTTTCCCTCATCAGTCTTCATTCTGTTCTCCATGACGACAAAGAGAAAACTCAATTTTACACATCTTTGCAAATTCATCAAAAAGTAAAAAAAAGAAAAAAAAGAAATATCACATTGACATAAGTATTCAGACACTTTACTCAGGGCTTAGTTGAATAAGTGATTACAGCCTCCAGTCTTCTTGGGTTTGCACATCTGGATTTGGGGATTTTCTCCATTGTTCTCTGCAGATCCTCTCAGACTCTGTCAGGTTGGATGGGGACTGTCGGTGTACAGACATTTTCAGGTCTCTCCAGATGTTTGACTGGGTTCAGGTCAGGACTCTGGCTGGTCCACTCAGCGACATTCACAGAGTTGTCTCTCAGCCTCTCCTGTGTTGTCTTGGCTGTGAGCTTAGAGTCATTGTCCTGTTGGAAGGTGAACCTTCAGCCCAGTCTCAGGTCCTGAACTCTGGACCAGGTTTTCATTGCTTCCACCATGCTTCACCATTTGGATGGTGTTCAGGTGATGAGCGGTGCCTGGTTTCCTCCAGACCTGACTCTAACAGTTCAGTCCTGGTTTAATTAGACCAGAGAATCTGGTTTCTCTCAGTCTCAGAGTCCTTTAGCTGCTTCTCTACAAACTGTCCCTGAGGAGAGACTTCGTCTGGACTCTCAGAGCTCTGTAGCAGTTCCTTCCTCCGCATAGTTTCTGCTCTGATATTCATGCATTTTTGCGTTTTTTTTATGTTTTAATAAATTGTCTAAAATTCTCTTTTCACTTTATTATTATAGGAAATTGTTGTGTAGACTGATGAGGGAAAATATTTTCAGCACAAGGCTGCAACGTGAAGGGGTCTGAAGACTTTCTTTATCTGGAGGCTGATGGATTGGTGGTGATATAGTGTAATTCATGATATCAGTAGCTCAGATGGCTGGTTCAGGGACCACCCACTCTGGTCACAAATTCTAATTAGCCCAATTTAAATCAGATTATTTAATCTGGCAGCCTTGCCCATACTACCACTGGTCACCAGGATGAATCCACAGGTCCTATTAAGCCTGACTCTGAGTTCATTAGTTACTTACGCAGATGAGTAAACTGTTTGATCAGTTTGCTCTGACAAAACCAAATCCAGACCAGAACCAGAAGCTACTGCTGATGGTTAATATCTGTGGCACAACAAACCAAACTGCCCTCAGTTGATCAGTGCATATTTACACTTAGTTGTCAGTTTATTAGGTACACCCAGCCAACAGGAATGCAGTCTAATGCAATAGTCCTGCAATAAATTCAACCTGTGTGAAGGTTATAATGTTGAAACTGTTTCAGAGGATGTAATCTGTGCTGCTGTTGAACTGGGGTGTATTAAACAGAGAGGTGTTTGTGGTGTTCAGCCCACCCTCATTGATATAAATGGGGTGGACAGAATAATACACCTGTCCACCTGATAACAACAGCAGCACAAACTGCAGCCTCCACAATGATCACACAGCTGAATCAGCACCTCCGAGACAGCTTCAACACAAACTGAACTTTACAACCTTCATGAAGGATGACTGTAGTATTAGGGCTCTATCTTACACCTGTCGCAAAGCGCCCCGATGCACACTCCCATATTGTTTAAATAGCATGCACTTGCACCCATCTGAGCACCCATGGTCTCAAAACGAGGTGTGGTCAGATGCATTGCTGTTGCATTGCTGTCTTGAAGCAGCGGAAAGCAATTTACCAACGAAAACCTGGTCTGAAGTAATTGGTGTGTTTCACTGTTATTTTAAGGCATCCTGACATAACTGTACCGCTTTCAGCTGTGCAGCCACTCCAGAGTCACCATTACACATGACCGTTCACTGCGCTTACCTACACTAGTGAACCTACACTATGTTACCTAAACTAGCAAACAGGGATTTGGAGGTGCTCTAAAAGAACTCGCTCCATACGCTTTACACCACTTTCTTTGATCGTTAAAATAGAGTCTTTACACTACATTAGTTTTAGGTTCTTGGTGTTTCTAATAAATTGACAAGTGAGTGTATATATTAAAAATAAATCTGAGCCCACATGGCTCCAGCCGCTTTCGGAAATAGTATATTCATTATTTAGGGTTCGTCAAGATGATGATTAAACTGTGGTATGTTGATCAGCAACCGATCATTATCAGCCAGTTTTCACTAAAAATACAGATTGGTAGACTGGCATTAATGCTCCTAGTTACTGATCACCTCCAAACCGTTCACCTGTGGTTAATAGCCTACCCCAGTGTCTGCGGCTGAGAGAAGCACTGTGTGCTGTGTAGTGTAGTCCCGCCTCCCAGCTTGTTCACTGCGCCGCCGCATGAGGCCACCAAAACAAAACATGTCGGTCGTGTGGAACTTTTACAAAGCGTGTGAGACTGATGTAACGTACGCCATCTGCAATGCATGCCAAAAATGATCGGTATCAGCGGTGGATCGGCTGATTTCACTCATAGATTATCAGTATCAGCGGCAACAAAACGTGATCGCAGCATCCTCTAAACATCTAGGTCTGTTCACTGCACTTTTTAGTCAGGTGACAAGTTAGCTCCCCTCAGTGACTCTTTGACGTTAACGTAGTTTAGTCAATCTGTGGCCAACAACACAAGGCTTTTGTAAACCTTGCTGCCATAACTTGACCTGTCATACATATGGTAGTCACACCACCATAGTAGTGCGTTTCTGTGTAATGTGGGATTATTAGCGGTAATAAGGTAGTTTATGTAATCTGGATCAACCATTGGCTTGTTCACACCCTGTCTGCTCAGTTGAACTTATTATTGACAATGGCACAGTGTTCCTAAATGTTTAATGTAATCTTATAATTGATAAAAACATTGGATGAGGCTACAAAAATAAACTTAACTTAAACAAGAGCAATCAAAAAACTGCTGACACTGTGTCAACACAGAGAGCGACTGTTCAAACTGGTCTGTGGAGACATTAAAAACCAGACACCAGCATGTGTTAGCATTGTTTTAAATCGCCTGTTTGTATTCTACAGTGATTGGTTTTCCTCAGCCTGCTGTGTAGCTTCAGTGTGTGGAACATCAGACTGGATCAGACGCAGCGAAGTACGAGTGTGAGGAGAGGTCAGTGCGCTATGCGGGACCGCTCTCTCACTTTATTGCTGCCACGTAGAGATTCATTAGTGTGCGGCCAGTGTACCTTCCAACCCTCCCTGCTATTCCTAACTGCAGTGGCAGTGCGGGATGTGTCGATCACTGTCAGCCTCTCTCCAGCTCGTCTCCCACCTCTGACTTCCTCTCTGATCCCTCATCATACGCTCGCCATGATCCTCACTCATCATCACTCATCAGCTTCCTCCTCCACCTGCTGACTATAGACTAACACTTCTGTAGTGCTGCTTGACAAAGCTCTCCTGCTTCTCTTTACTGACCACTCCCTTTTCCTGTTGGGCCTTCTGCAGCTGGGGCCCCTGGGTCACCACCTCCCTGCTGACTGGCCTCTCGTTAGGCTTCCTGTTGCGGTCCCACTCCTCACACAGCACGCTCCCGGCGTCACTCATGTCACCCAGGTGCTCCACCGAGTCGCACTTTTCCAGGTCGGAGGCGATGGTCTGCAGGCTGATGACTGACATACAGTCTGAGCCAGCCTGCTCCGCCTCCAGCCGCTCCCTCTGGCCCCAGCCGCTCTCTCTGTGCCTCTCCACCCACAGCCGGGTTTTCTCGCTGTCCGCCCAGTCGCTCTCCATGTCGCCGACTGCAGCACAACTACTGACGTGAATCCCGATGGCGGCTCTGACCTCAGCCTCAGCACCTACAGGGGAGCTCCGCCCCCCACAGACTGCAGGGCGCCCCCTGCTGGCCCTGATTCGCCCCCTCTGTGCATGAATCTGTTCACTGATCTGCTCCAGGTTCCGCAGGGCCACAGAGTAACGTGTTTTTACTTTCGATACCTGCTCCTCCAGCCTGACTACTTTAGCCTTGTGTTCCTGAAAAACAGTTAGAAGCAAGTTAGAGAAATGTCTCAAGACACTAGACCCAAAGAGAGTTGCTCTTTAAGTTGGCCATTTTCATTTCTTTAATTATACTTTGGTTTAAACCTAAAATAACAATTATTCATCCCTTTTTACTGTGATTTTAAATAGGGCTAAACAATTAATCGTAATATAATCGAAATCGCAATATGGCCAAGTGCAATATCCAAATCACAGTGGCTGAAAAAGAATCTCAGGAGCAGCTGTTTCTTTGACAAAGGTAAAATGTGTCACATTGTTGTGTGTTGTTATGTCACCATAAGTGTTGGTGGTGCTACAGAGACGCTCCGGACTACAAATTATATTCTCCAGACATAAAAGAAACTAATCACATCACTGTCAACCTGTTTGCTTGAATTAGGATGATGATGTCACCAGCCTTCACAGCTTGTTGGACAGAACCACACACATAAACACCACAACTACCAAAAATCACCTTTCAGCCTCAGTGGGATATTTTCAAAGTTCGAATGAAAGTCACTGAAGGTTGTTTGTGATGAGTGAGTCTCAAATGTCTGCATGTACTGTAAATCACATTTTGCAGCCTCTGCATTAACACTGTACCACAGGTAAAGTACCTCTGTGAAAAAGCTGCTAAACCATGTGGAGTATCACGCTGCTGAAATCATCAGCTTGTTGCTAACAGTACAAACATGTATGTTTCAAAAACACTGGTACACACCTCCAGAATGTGGTTGAATTGAGCCTTGAGTTCAAAGTAAGGTTTGGACTTGAGGATGACCTTCTTCAGTGCTTTCTGGAGGGTCTGAACTCGCGCCTCTGCGTCCTGGCAAAGCTGTGTGACTCGCTGGTGCTCCCGCTCGCTGTGGAGGCGCTCCTCCTCCGCCTCGTTTACCTGACCAGCACAGGAGATATGACTGAGAGAGGGAACGCTGCATCGTCAAGTAAATGGACCTTGTCAAGTCCTCTGTGGACATTTTTAAGGCTAAACTCAAAACCCACATTTTCTCTGGCTTTTGAGTGTCCTTAAGGTTTATCTTTTACTTTTAACCTCTGTGTTTTATTTCGTTTTTTATTTCAAACTATTCCCTAACTGTTTTTGCCTATGGGATAGTTAAGTCATCTGAAAAGTTATCTCGTTTTGTTTCCTTTTGGCTGTTACTATGTTGTACATCACTCAACTTTGGTTGCTTTAAATATGCTCTATAAATAAACTTGATTTGATTTGAATAAGTCAATTACATATGCACAAATAAAGGAAGCTATTGATGACACTCCAGTGGAAAAGCTACAGGTCCTGATAAACCTAACCCAGAATTAACTTTTAAGTAGAATGTATGAGTAGTCCACACATTACCAGAGGAACATTCCTCATACAAACCAATTAACTCCATTGTGCAGAAAGTAAAAGCTTTGAGCTAAGAGATTAAACCTGAACCTCTGAAGCTGTTAGAACACACCCATGTGTTAATGGTAACACTGGGAAAAGGGAGCATACTATTACATTGTATGCAGATGATATACTGCTATTTCTCTGCAACCCTAATCAATTAATCCCAGCTATGTTAGCAACAATCAATGAATTTAGCACTCTCTCTGGCTACAAGTTCAATGTCGGTAAGTCTACTGCTCTGCTCTCATAACATCTCCATTCACTTTGTCCAAAAATGGCTTCAGAGTGGAGTTTTCATGTTCTCTGAGTCCTCCAGCCATAGACACGCAGATTCATTGGTGATTTTAAATTGAATGTAGGTGTGAATGTGAGTGTGACTGGTTGTATGTGTCTATATGTCAGCCCTGTGATAGACTGGCCCTTGCCCAATGTCAGCTGGGATTGGCTCCAGGTTAAATCTTAAGTCACCCCCCCCTCCCCGACCCTATAAGGATAAAGGGGATGGCTAATGAATGAATGGATTCAGTCAGAGATATTTCAGTTACAACACCAGTTTTGCTTGGGTATGAATGAGATTAACAGAGAACTAATGCTGTAAATTATTCCTCTAACCTGATGCATTAATACAAATATGAAATTTTTACATTACAAATGGACCCAAAGCAGTTATATTAATACACTTTCAATTTAACGTTACCAACAGCTTAGTCACACATCTCGTGAAATAATGCGTAGGTCACTAATGTGCATTGTGTACCAACAGGTACACACGGATTCTTCTTCTATTGTAGCGGTCAATACTTATTATAGCCATCACTTGAGGCTAACAGCATTACAGCTTCATACATCCATGACACTGTAAAGGTTCATATTAAAAGATTGATGTCGGGACTTTATTAATCGATGTCAAATTATTCAAATGAAAATCTATTTGAATTGGAGAATCGATTTTTTCAACCAAGCACTAAAGGGTTAAATTCATGTTTGTTAACACTTTATTTTTTTGTAGTTGCAATCTGGAAAATGAAGATCTATGTATGTTTTTGTTTTGTTTTTTCATGTAGTTTTTGTCTGGTAGCCTGATTGTCTGATTTGCATTTTGTATTTAGTAATTTGTATTGGTGTTATGTACCATTCTTTTTGAGGGTGACATTGAATGTGCTGCCTATATAAAGTGAAAATAAAGTGATTGTAGAGCACCTCCATTTTTCCAGCTACTATATAATTTGACATAATTGAGCTCAGTGTTTCTTAAATTAAAGCACTGCTGCATAATGACGTCCCGCTGTTCCTGTTTATTTTAAAATCTATTACCTGAATGAGGTTTTATTTGAAATTATGAAATTCTAAATTAGACATGCATCCTCACTAAAATTAAAGACAATTTGTGTCTCAGGAAAGAATATACATTTTTTGGGACAGTCGTTCAAAACAGAGAACGATCCCAGGAAAACCAGGACGGGTTGCAACTCTAGTGCATATACATAGTCTTCCCCCTGTTCAGTTGTTATGTTGTCTTTACTGTGCTTTGTGTCCTGGTTTCTCGTGTGTTGCCTGTCTTACCTGGATTCTGACCCTTGTGTCTCTTGGATTCTTGCCTCTGCCTTACTGGACTTGTTGCCTGTTTGGACTCTTCTCTACGGTTTTGACCTTTGCCTGCCTCACTATCCTGAAGGCCTTTTAATCCTCTTTGTTATGAACAGCTTAAGCTCTGCCTCACCGTCTGCATTTGGGTCCTGTTTTTTACCTTGCTGCACCAGCTGTGACTGTTGTTAATGGGTTTCCTGTTTACAGGGTGTGTTCGCAGCATTGAGGTAGAAAACACGCTTCCAGTTTGTCATGGCAGCTTATACACAGAAATAAATTTAGAAATAAAGCGGTGGCAGTGAAATTACTGTTTAGAGGTGAATTTGTATGTGACACATATCAGTGCATTGCAAACCTTTATTTTTGACACACTACCTCCAATAGACATAGCAGCTAGATACAGGAAATAACCCTTGAGAGTCAATCATAATTTTATTTACATTCAATTTTCACATCTTTGTCTGCACTTGATCTACAGCAAGACAATGCATGTTTGGTGTGTGCTCTCTTGCGATATATAACGACACAATCGGAAATGCAAAACATAACAGATCCTGTCGCCCGCCACACAGTCAGTGCAGGAAAGCTTACTCCTGAGCGCAGTGTCAACACATTGAACAACATTGCTCATTTGTGACAAAGCAATTTTAATCACAATTATCTGGCAACAACGTTTCACTAACTTCTGAAACTTATTTCTTAAACGTTCCTGATCAAAATAGTCCGCCTGCCAGCAAGTCCCCCGGCAATCACGACTAATTGTATAGACGGATCGCTGCTCACTTCAGTTGTGGCTTACTTTTCATTTGTGCTGTTTTTGAAGTCGTGTTGTGGCTTTTTGTACTCGTATTGTGGTTTAATTTGCATTTGTGTTATGACTTTTGTATTTGTGTTGCGGCTTTTGTATTTGTGCTGTTGCTTTTGTATTCATGCCATGGGTATTACATTTGTGTTGTGACTTAATTTGTGTTGTTGCTTTTGTAATTGTGTTGTTGCTTTTGTAATTGTGTTGTTGCTTTTGTAATTGTGTTGTTGCTTTTGTAATTGTGTTGTTGCTTTTGTAATTGTGTTGTTGCTTTTGTAATTGTGTTGTTGCTTTTGTAATTGTGTTGTTGCTTTTGTAATTGTGTTGTTGCTTTTGTAATTGTGTTGTTGCTTTTGTAATTGTGTTGTTGCTTTTGTAATTGTGTTGTTGCTTTTGTAATTGTGTTGTTGCTTTTGTATTTGTGTTGTTGCTTTTGTATTTGTGTTGCGGCTTTTGTATTTGTGTTGTTGCTTTTGTAATTGTGTTGTTGCTTTTGTATTTGTGTTGTTTCTTTTGTATTTGTGTTGTGGCTTTTGTATTCATGTCATGGGTATTACATTTGTGTTGTGACTTAATTTGTGTTGTTGCTTTTGCGTTTGTGTTGTTTTTTTCATTGTGCTGACCCCGTTTCGGCCACTGTAATTGAGCAATGCTGAATGTTGGCATTTGTGTTTTTTCATAACTATATGTTAATGTGCCATGGTTTTTACAGTAAGAATTGTGCCCAAAGAGCCACATTTTTACATTTTTTAAATTCATAAACAACAACATCTTCCATATTATCTGTTTACCACCTGTACCAAAGACTTACTGAATTGTGGCCTTAAATCCAAGGTACATGAATTTTGTTTAGTGTTGCATCCCTCAATATTCACTTCACTTTGCCTGTCTAAATTCCATGACATTCCAGAAGTGTCCAACAAGAGTGCAAGGCCTAACTGAAGAACACAGCAGCAGCTCTGGCTGAACTCTGCAGGCTCCATTCCCAGTCACCATCAATCATTAAAATTGCAACTGCACAATGACCTTTAAAGTTTAATTCTGAGAGAAAAGGAGATTGAACCTCTTTGATGCATGCTACTAAAATTTCTCTCTGGCAACAATGGGATACTAGATATTCATTCAAGGAGCTGCTTGTCCTGGTGAGTGACTCAGCTGAGAATCTCTTCAAGCCACTGTGGACATCATTGCTTCATCCAATTAGCTGTACCCTGTACCCGTTTATCCTTTTAGAGGGTTCGGGGGCTGCAGCTGATCCCAGCTGACATTGGGCGAGAGACAGGGTACAGTCTATCACAGGGTTGATACTTAGAGACAAACAACCATTCAAGCTCACCTACGCTTTAGAGTCACCAGTTTACCTGCATGTCTTTAGGGTTAGGGTTAGCCTCACCTCTTTGACCATTTTTGGATTAGCCGGGAGTTGGGGTGGCAGTTGACGTCAAAGAGGCTACGTCCATCTCTATTTACAGTTTGTGCTCTACATTCATCTTGCTGCTTCCAGCAGTGAAATCAGTACATGCCCAAGCCGTAACAGAACGACCACCAAGAGGGTCATGAACTGTTCCTTTTTCCCTCACACTGTCCTCTTGGGGGCATCACATTCCTCCAACGCCAAACACAGCTGATAGGCTAGGAAAACTGAGACAGCACCTCTGCCAGCCACTGGTTCAGCTCAATTCTATACAGCTGAAAAGACAAGTATGGCTGACACTAAATGATAGAATTGTAATGTAGTTTTTATTATGAATTAGTTTTTTGTTTATCATTGTTTTATTATGCATGTACATGTGTGTGTGTATAATATATTAAACTTCAGGGATCTCAATCTGTCCATTTAGGAAGCACAAGTGATTGTGAATCAGTTTCAGCTGCTTTGGTGAAAATGAAAGTGACAACAAGTGCAATGGAGAGGCAACAGCAAGACAACCCCCAAAAAGGGAATGGTTTTACATGTGGTGGCAACAGACAGTTGCTCTCTCCTGATTCTTCCTGAGTGATTCCTCTCTAGTTTGTGTCCACACTACTGAGTCACATGATGAGTTGGATCAGCCTGTGATTTCAATTTGTTACTTTGATTTTCAGTGTGATTGTGAATCCAGCCCTCAGTAGGTTGATGATTTTGGTTTCCATTGACTGTTGTTATGTCATTTTGTTCTCAACACATTATACAAAGTACATCAGTAAAGACTTTCAACTTGAATAATTCTTCATCAAGATCCGATTTGTGAAGTGTTCCCTCAATTTTTTAAGCAGTATATATATATGTATATATATATATGTATATGTGCATATATAAATATATACTATATATATTGAAGTTTTCATTCATTATTCATTCATAATTTTTCAATTTTATTCATATATTGTTTTTATCTCATTTATGTTTATGAATGTTTTATTTGCTTTGTTAAGTGTCCTTGGGTGTCTTGAAATGCACTTATAAATAAAATGTATTATTATTATTATTCTTTTTTATTCTTTTGACGCTGGTCTTTGACTTTGATTCCTTTCTCACTGTAAAGTTTTGTTTCAGCTCAGAGAGATCTTGCGTGCTCTCTCTCTCTCTCAGTGTTAGGAGGGAGTTAGTATAAAAAGATCAGTTTAGAGACTTGGTTTGAAACTTAATCTTCCCACCTCAGACTCATAATCCTGTCTGCTCACTCTGACACACACATTCTCACTCCCTCCTGCAGATACATACCCGCTGCTCTCTCTCTCTCTCACACCCACACACACACACATGCACGCACGCACACACACACACATCTGTATATTCTCACCTATCTAGCATCATTTCTGCCTTGTGTTGTTTACACTACTGCTTGTATGGTTTTCAGTGTAATAATCAATTTTATATTTATAAGTGGTCAAGCACATTTCTGTATAATGCACTGCAGCTCAGCACCACCGCACACTACATCCATGTTAACTATTTGGAACCAAATGTATATAATATCAATATTGAAAGGCTTTGGGATGGATCTATATTTACATAATACATGTTTACAATATAAGCATACATGCATATACATAAATATTTGTATGGGGTAGATACACTGTATGTCCGTATATGAAATCCTTAAAGTTTCTAATAGGTTTTATGTATAATTTTTACATGTGTTGTTATTTTATATATACAGTATATGTACATATATTTCATATATAGAAAGTCAATATATGTTCATGTTTCACATCTGTGTATGGGACACAAGTTGGAAAATAATTTCTCTCTATGTAGTTGAACCCATGCATGAAATTCACACATGCTGGCCTTACTCAGAAATTTAGCCACATTTCACTGATTCAGCCAACACAGAACAAACTAAAACTCCAAGGTCAGGGAGAAGCCTGGGCATGTACCTTGGCGGTGGCATGGTTAAGCATCTCCTGCCAGGTTGGGTCCATGGTGTTCCTGTCGGCCAGGAGGCCCTGCTCTGCCACATACACCATCTCCCTGGCCGCAGTGTGCATGGATACAGCCCGCTCGTATCTCAGAGCTGCCTTCTGGGTCTCCTGTTGGGCCTGGGGGAACAGACAACAGCAGCTGACAAACATTGCAACCAATCACTGAATCTGCAAGCACAGTGGAGACAGTCCTCCCAGCATCAGAGCGGCTGTCTGAAGAAGACATCGAAATTTACAGGTCCTGATGCAGATCAAGGCCCTCCAATTCACTGTAGTTTAACTTTATAAATTGTGTCCAAATGCACACTCAACACCTGTTCAACTTCTTATTCATGCAGTTATCCAACCAGCCAATCATGTGGCAGATCCAGGTGAGGAGCTTCAGTTAATGAGGAGAAACATGATCTCAGTGACTTTGACTGTGACATGATTGTTGGTCTGAGTGTTTCTCAAACTGCTGATCTCCTGGATTTTCACACTCAGAGTGGAGCAACAAAAAAAGCATCCAGTGAGCAGCAGCTCTGTGTCGATGAGAGAGGTCAGAGGTCAGAGGAAAATGGACAGACTGCTTGGAGCTGACAGAAAGACTACAGTCATTCAGATAACCACTCTTTACAACTGTGCTGAGCAGAAAGCTCCAGAGTGAAAAACACGTCCAACCAACAAATGCAGAGACCACGTCAGGTTCCACTCCCTGTCATTCCCGTGGGAAATGTTTTCTTGACTTTCTTTGGGCCTTAATACCAACTATCATCACTTCAGTGCCCCACCCAGTATTAGTACAGTGTCTCTAATAAAGTACTCTGTGAGGGTAGACTCCATGTCTGACTCTATCTGTCAGATATTTGGGGCCAGCTGATTCAACTGGATCTTCTAATTGTAATTTGGTATCTCAGGTGAGACAAGCCACCTGACCGGGGCCAGAGATACAGTCAAGATATATGTAACATCAGAAGCACAATCACAATCTATTATTCACACCCTCTTCTCGCATTGATAGGCCATCTAGCTGTATAGAGGTTGGGGTTTGTACTTCTCTATGCAGCGCTGAGGTCAACACTATGAATGTCATCCATGACAGACTGTCCAGAAATATGCACTGTCATCTCCAAAAAACAATATTGCGTCTTCCCCCTCTGTAGAACAGCTGTGGCCAATTGCAACGACTATGGTTGTACAAAGGCAGTTGTAGTTGTATTTCAACACTTCCTGTTCCCTGGTCCTGAAGTCTCTGGTTTGTTGAATGTGTTTTTGGTTAGATGGCTGAAATAAGGTCTGTGGTTAAAACACAAGTTCAAGACATTTTCACGTTTTATTCTACAACATAAAATACATCAGTAAATACTCCAGTCCTGATTTCTTGAAGCTTTTACATCTGATAAAAAAGGCTGGTTGCTAGTGTCTCATTTGCCAGTGTCTCAGTCTCATTTAGACAAGTGTCTAAATGAGACTACAGAGGTTGTCAGGGATGTTAAACGTCATCACATTGAACATGAAAACTGATCAACTCACCAGTCCACCTTTACAGTCTCGTTGTGTTAATACCAACTGTCACTAACTCTGTCAGAGGAAAGGCTTCTGTAGAAGAGCTAGATATCCAAAACTGGGAGAATTTTGCTTTTAAACTAAAAGCCAAAAGCACATTTAGTGCTACAGTGCAGTCATCCCTTTATCTATCTGTCTATTTGTTTTGACACTGGTACGTTAAAAAATAAACTGAGTGTGAAAAAATGAATTTTACCACACTGGATTAGTGACGTTCAGACAGAAATTCAAGATGAAAATTCAAATTTGAACATCAGGTTTGTTAAGGAGACACCATCAGACCTCTGTCCATATGATCCATAATCTGCTTAAGATTCGAGAAGAATGTCTTTGGCAGCTCTGATTTTTTTTCTTTGAATATTTCATCTTCTCTCAACTTTGGTCTCTTTACCTTGAAATTAACTTGTAAAATTTGAGCAACTTGACTATTTGAACTGGATTTTGAATTTAAAAAATGTGAATATAGTTTTCTGTAACAGGCACTGTCAAACCAGGATCATTCTTCCTTGTTGAATTGGAATTAGAATGAGGAAAGGTAGTCAGCTGACACTGAATTAAAGATAAATATTTCAAAATAAAAGCCAAGAGGATAGAGTGGCCATTCTATATAGTATAACATTATGCACAGATAGATAAAGATGTTTTTTTTTAAGACATGAAAAATATTTCATCTGAAGTGTGTGATGTATTATTTACTTGTGTATCATGAATTAACAGCCTCATTAATTAATATGTGTAAACACACTGTGTGGTCCCTCCCAGATAGTGTTGTCTAAAGTGACCAGCAGAGGTCTCCACTGTTACCACATTATTGTTCACTCTTTCACCAAATCACTTCATATTCTGCTACCTGATCAAGCTAATGTTCACTGTTTATAGCTGCTGTTGGTTGTAGCCGACACTACGACCTTTATTCTGAAATTCATCAGTCAGACATCACATAGTGGACAGATCAATCAGCCACAGTCGTACTAATCATTATCATATCAGCAGCTTTTAGAGCAAAAGCTATAACTACATATAATGTAGCTGTTTAACACATTAGTCGCCTCTAAGGTCGAGTTTTAACACACACCAGACTTTAAAGAAAAACATTCACATTCATAGATATTCAGGATCTAAGCTTCTTCTCTGGTCCACGTCAGAGGAATAAACACATGATGAACACGCTGTCTGTGTTATAGAATGGCCACGCTGTCCTCTCGGCTTTTATTTTGAAATGTCCCTTTACTTCCTCAATTTAACAAGGAAAAATGAAAAAAAGGAATATGCAAACAGCAGAATTGGAGCGTTTCTTCTGATTTGATGTTTTTGTTGTTTTTTTTTTAATTCTGACAACAAAAACAGAAAAACTGCTCCGTTTTTATGTTTTTACTGTTTCTGGTTTAAAACAAAAAAACAGACTGCGTGAATGTTCACTTATTGTGTAGTGTATTGAAAAACGATGCACAATTCCATTTGTGATATATATATATATTTATATATACTGTATATATATATATATATATATATGTTCTTTAGGTCTCCCTTTAAAATTAAAGCTCACTGTCACTGGGGTTTATCCTGACTAAAGAACAAAGTCATCCCAGACATGCAGCTCAGGGAGTTCTGTCAGCGTCTGGAGGAAAGTGTTTCTGTGTTGGTTTGCAAGAGAGCTGCTAAAGTCAAGGTTACTCGGATCACATGGGAAGGTTTGGTCGATGTGTCCGCGAGATAGAGCTGCAGGAAGGTTCGGCTGGATGGAGACGGATACTGGAGATCCCCACTGAGAGATCACTGACTGCATCACTGATGGTTTTTATCATATGGAGTCTTTACATGACGTGTGATTAAAATGCAAAGGCTGTTGAAACCTGCATACGAGCACCACTGATGTAATACTAATGGCATTTTCCTCGTTTTCTAATTTGCATTTTTATAACTACAAATGACACTGCTTAACGGTTCAGATTAATAATCTATTATTTGGTTTATTGCTTTCAATTAGACCTCTGCTCTTTCTCCACACAATTTTCATTAGTTCAATTACAGTTTCAAATGACTCCTCAGCATGTTGATTAAACATGACTGCCACTCAGGCCCCAGTCCTTCAAGGGTTAAAAGTTTTACTTAATCAGTTTGGCTTCATTACAGGCAAATCATTCCCTCTCAGCTATCACTTACTGACATTACAGACTACGTATGAATCGCCATTACTTATACATGACATTTATCCAGTACAACTGTGTATTGTTGGGACAATAAAGTGGAAAAAGTCTGAATATTACTGAAATGTCATGATATACACATGAAAACAAGTGATCTGTGAATAGAATGAAATAAATATCGTACTGAAAAAGAAAATTTTACAAATACATAAATACAACCCAACTTGAATAAACTGCATATGAAAAGCTCCTTGTGCATATTTACTTTTTAATATCACATTTGTTTTGTGTATTGTGTGTGTGCAGTTGTGTGTCTCTTCACGTCCTCCCTGATCTGTAGTCGCATGTTGTTTTTAGGTGCCAGTGGAAAACATTTGTCTTTTTAGTGGTTTTTCTTTCAAAACATGCAGCAGCATCTCATGAGACAATATAAAGTCAGCACGTTTTACATCCACTAGAATCGTCTGGTGTCACATCTTCACTGGCTGTGCTGTTTTAATGGAATTACTTAACACTTATTTAAGTTGTTTGATATTTGTCCACTGATAGGAAGACAAATGCACCTAACGTATACATTTGTAAATTTTTTTATTTGTGTATCATGAAGCAAACACTAACGATTACATTTACATGGTTCCCACTCTTTTCTAGGGAACCTTTTTCCAGGACTTCTCCAGGACATTACCAGTGATGATCTAGCTCATATGGCAGACAGGAATCACTCCATACACAAATATGCAGTGTTGTGCCAGTTCACACTTTAAAAGAACTAGTTCAAAGTCCAGTTCATACTGATGAAAATTAACTAGTTCACGTTCATAGTTCATTACTTTTGAACTAAGTTCAGTTTTTTTTTTTTTTAATAAATGGGCCACTATTCTTTTTCAATAGAACCTCCTTCTACCCATCCATCACCAGCCCCAAATCATTGCCACTCCCAAACTAAACGAATTACTGTATACCACTGAAGAATCACAGACATGAGTTACTTTTAAAACCGTCTGTACCGCTAGCACCGTGTCTATGGAGACGTCATGCTGTCGTAAGACGTGAGCTCACGTTCACGTTCACAATTTGTAAAATGATTCGTTCAGTTCAGCGTTCACAAAAAATATGAACATGTTCAATGAACAACGTTCATGCACAACACTGCCAATATGTTCCCATCTGTGGAACACTGATTTAAAATATGCGCAGTCTATACTTGGTGATACTTATCTATGACATCACCTCTTTCATACTTAATTAATTATGAAATTATGACAAATTGATCGCAAGAACTTTGTCACAAGCAAGTGCTAGGTAAATAAAATTTAGCATTATGATCATCATTATTAATTTATAACCTGACTGCATTCTTATGAATTATATTAACTATTGCAGCCTGAACACCAATAACATAGTAGCAGCCAACTGACAAATCTAGACTGAACTTTAAATGTAGATTCAAAGTTGAATTAGCTCAGATTACTTACTGCCGCTGGGTCTCCTCAGTTTATCACACTTTAGCCTCTTTATTAGCAACAGGAAGTGATTTCATTGACAAGGTTAGCCCCACCCACTGTGAGCTGCTGCTACAACAGTTAAACACGTCATGTCACGCTAGCAAAGTAAAAATAGCAGTTAGCGAGTATTTAGCCAGTGTTTGACTAGCATACAGTTAGGCTCCCATTCATTGTACTTCAAATTTATTATTATCCAGCGCACAATGAAATGAACCAACACACATTTGAAACCTTTGCTCTGCCAGAGCTGAATCATAAACCTTAAACCATTAGCTACTGGCTAAACAAGCTAGCAAGCAACGGAACTAAACATGCTAACCCATTATTGCAGAGTTTAAAACAAGTTAGGAAGAATACGTTAACCTATTAACCTCATAAAACTACCACAGTTAGCAGCCAACAGTGACTTATATACATTTAAAGGATATAAATGATGTGATGTGACTTCAAGGTGCGTTCACAGCATTGCCAAGCAAAACGGCTAGCAGCCTATTCAAAATAATCATCCATAAACTAGCCAACCATTTGAATGTCAACATGATCCTGAACATAACTTTGCCTGAAAATAGGAAAATGTTGAATTTTTATATAACTCGCCTGTTTACATTTTATTAAGGCTTAAAGTATTTATATTTGGGGGTGTGGTTTCTTTGAATGGCAGGTGGGTAAACGTATGCTTGCCACAAGTCGGCCTGCACTAAAGTCCACACATACGCCCCTCCTCTTTGACTATTTTTGGATTAGCTGGGAGTTAGGGGCGGAGTCAGGTACTGGCAAGATGGTGATGGTAGAGCAGCTCACTCTGAGCTTCAAAAGCGTTCTTCAGAAACCTGTGGGTGATGTCACGGAGGCTACGTCCATTTTTATTCATGGTTTTAGTCAACAAAAGCTAAACACATTTTAATCAAATTTTTGTCCAGCATTTACTATTTTTTCAGTCTTCCACTCCGTTTGAGGCTCCGGGTGTCACCATCTTTGTGGTGCACAGTTACCATGGTTACAGCTGACTTTCTTATCTATTATGAGGTTAGTGGAAAAGGCACTGTGTAGATGTTTACAGGTTCACATCGCAGCCCCCGTGTCCCGCTGCTCTGCAGTAACACAACATGTTCTCCTAAGTAAATCAGACCTACTGACTCTGTGTTGTTCCTGTCCACCCAGCGTTACCACGGCTACCTGTTCTCTGATTATTCAGAAGCTGGATTCACTGACATAATGTTCATCCTGGGTTTATTTCAAGAAGAGAACCTAAATTTTGACGGTTACATTAATCCTGAAACATACTTCTTCTGGTAGCAACACAAACACTAACCAACTTAAAGTAACGTTAACATTGCATCCACAGCACTTGATACAGTTACACTAGCTTACCTTTTCATGAATGCTGCTAGCCTGCATGTTTTTGTAGTTTGTCTCAGCTGTTTTGTTGCCGCTTCCTGTTCTTCTTTCAAGAACATCAGAAAATGTTACAGAGACAGAACGATACACAACGTAAGCTGAACAAGAGATCTCATTGGCTGGTGGGGGACACTGTTTTAATACCCAACAGACTATAGTGTGTGATCCTGCAGGAGCAGGATTTATTTTATTATGGTCCTTGTTACTCCTTGTACTCCTGCTTGAGGTTACTTTTTTATTAAGTGTTAGTCTAAGTTTTTGTTCATTAACATAGCACTGCTGAGGACTTTACAGGACACTCTATCCTTCACTGCACCAAACCTAAACAATGGAAACATTTCCAACCCTCACCTTCAGCCTCTGAGAGATTTTTCTAGTAACTTGTCCACCTCATTTATAATAATGAGGGTAGACTAAACATTACAAACACCCTCATCAACACTTTTCTGTGACAGTTCAAACAAACCTTGGAAGCTGGAACCTTCATGAAAGCTGGGGTGTATTGCAGGACTATTCTGACTTCACTAATTTACATTAGTAAAGTGTTTATCTCTCATTCTGATCCATGCACATACACTGCAGACTCATGTACACCTGCAACACGCACCTCTTTGGCCAGTCTGCGGGCTTCATAGTAGGGCCTTGCTTTCTCAATGCAGGCGCCGAGCTGGGAGCCCTGAGCGTTGAGTTTCCTGGCAGAGTCAGTGAGAATCCTCCTGTAGCTGGACCTGGCATCCTGCAGGCAGCACACACATGACATAACATCACAGATACAACATTCAGTGAGCGCTGCCAGGAGCTGTGTGACAGCTGAGGCCGTGATAACAACTGAACAGTCGGTCAGCGCACAAACTCTGACAGCGACATAAACAACAACTCCCTCACGTCCAGCTGCAGCTCCAGCTTGTTGATCTCGTCGCTGGCCTGGTTGAGGTGCTCCAGCTCCTCCTGGAAACACAGGGGGGGAGATGACTGGTATTAAAGGCAGAAGATCAACAGAAAGGCTGGAAAGATGCTGGAATTAAAGCAGTGTTAAAATGTTCAGTGGAAGGACGCTGCAGCCTAGAGACTTGAGGCTGCCCAGCCCAGGCACCAGTCTGTGGCAGGAGCAGACTAGGACGTGCAGATGTTCATATTTATTAGTAAAAATGCCACAAGGACTAATATAAACTGGATGGTTTGTGTAAAATACATAAACAGGGTTCATCTATTCGGCTACCTGAGTGATAATGATCATTTTGTAACATGCCTGAATTCTTGGGTCCAGTTCTTCCTCGTATTTGCCGGCATCCTCTCCTTCTTCGGGTTTCATCTGATTCTCAGCCTCTCCATCATCCTCCCAGTGCGCTCTCACCTCCTTCGCGGTGTCTGCGTCCGCTCCTCTGCACTTCATCACGGTGCTCCCCTTACCGCCTCTCGCCTCTTTCCCCGGGGTCTCCTCCCGCACCCCGGCCGGTTTAAGGCACCCTGCCCCGCTCGGAATTTCACGCGAGGTCCCTGGCTCCATGTGCGGCCTGTCGCTGTTAGCCTACCGCTACAGTAGCCTGTTTACTCTACAGAAAAACTGCCAGTGAAAAACACCGAGGACTTCAGTGTTAAACCGTCCCGCTGTGTCTGCACAGCACACAAACCACACACGGCTGTCGCTGCCGACCCCCGCAGCCCGGCCGCCGTCATGCAGGCAGCACAGGACTGTCACTCCGCAGCTCTCCTCCCTGCTCTGCTTCTGTTTGTCATCCTCACATTCATTAAACAACGTATTTATTCTATGCTGTTATTTCAATATACTTAGAACTATAGTTCCTACAATCAACGTAGTCTGTGACCTGGACTTCCGGGGGTCCTGAACAGTGTTTGTGACCATGACTGCTTCACTTTCATTAAAATAACAAATTCTTATTTTTCAGTCAAAAAACAACAACAACAACAACAACAACAACAACAACAACAACACATACGCAAATGTAATATGTACATACACTGAATTTCCATATAAGAAAGATAATATAAAATAAAAACGCATAAGGAAACCCGTTAGAAATTGGAAACATTTTTAACTATTGACATCTATGTCAAGCCTATACAAATATGCATGTTTATGTATGTATGCTTATATTGTATGGCATGTTACATAGGTTACAAAGCCTATTGAGACCGCCTTCCCAGAATGTGAAGTGAGGCATGTTTATAATAATGAATAAACTTGCATAATGAATTTATATATGTATGGTTAACAAATGTGGTCACAGCACGTTATAAGTCATCATTGATATTTATAATATACATATACTGTACATATGCAAATTTTACTATGGGAATTTCATATATGTTATAAACGTATATCTTCATCCAGAGGACCTACCATCTATATGTGATAATAACCCCTGATAGGTGACATATATGGAAACATCACTCTTTGTAGAGGGACACACACTGATGGGAAAAGAAGATAAGTAAAAAAGGAATGAAAAAAAATCATAAACAAATGCAATGTAAGAAAAAATAATAAGTAAATAAAAATTCTTTAATGTTGACACATCACACCTTTATATAATATATATAACATGAATTTTCCCTAGAGGATAAATAAAGTATCTATCGATCTATCTATCTATAACGTAAATAACTGTTATCATTAAGACAGATTCAGATTTGCGACATGACCATGTTTTCTTTATCAGCTTGCAGTGCTTTGTATTGGTGAAAGATGGACACCAGTCCTTATTCAGTTTATCAGTAGAAAGCCTCAGAGCCAGTCTACAACTGTGCATGATCCCTTATCTTCTGCTAGTTTTGCTAGATTTGATATCTAATTGTACATATTACATTATTATCTATTATTTAACTTTTTTTATCTGACAGTTTCTGATAGACTTTTTTTACTGTCCACTTTGCTGCTGTAACATTTCAAATTTCCCCAAGATGGAACTAATAAAGGAGTATCTTATCTATCTTCTCATCTCATCTCATCTCATCTCATCTCATCTCATCTAACCTCCTCTGACATTTGTCTTCTGGCAATCAGAGAGGCACAATTAATTATATCAAGGAATATTAGTTTCTTTAGCAGTTACTCCAAATATAAACAGGGTCTTAAACAGAGAACTGTAAATATTTATTTTCAGTTTTTACAGAGCAGAGGGCAAGTCCAGAACATGAGCACTCAGTCTGATTTAACATGGGGCTCACTCAGGACGTAACTTGGCTTTGCACAAATCCATCTTCTTCCCACAGGCCTTTGATGAAAGATAAAGACGGGGAAACAAGACCAGCATTCATCCCGTGTACCTAACTAACCACACTCTTTCCATATGTCAGGTACAAGTGAAAGATGACTGGATCAGCAGCCAAATGCAAAGTGTCTTACTGGTAAATATCCTAAAAAATGTTTTTTATTTGTCTTTCAATTGAGTGAATGAAGCAACAACACCACAGACAGTCCCACTGTACCCGTTCGATTGGTCAGTGATTTCCAAGCACAGACTCTCTACAGTTTACACCCAGGGCCTCTCTATCAGGTGGTGGGTTTACTACTATGCTGTGTCCATCAGCAGATGTATGGTTTTCTAATGCTGCTGAGTACAATGACCGCAGGTGAGACTGAAAACTCCCCACAGTATGGTTGAACTGGCTTGTGTAACCACATCCTAATCAACTGACCATAGCCAGATCAGCAGCGCTGTGGTCATAAAACTCACATCACTTCCTGCTGCTCATGCAGCAAGGGCATAAAATGCACTGAGACCAGACTTCAGACCTCCCCTTACAGAAAAACCACATGAATTTCACATTTCACAAAATCACATGTGACCACATGTTCATGGGATTTTTGCACATGTGAAAACATGTTAAAATCACATGTGAACTGTGTGGAACACGTGCTGGGATATTGGGGAACGTGGGGTTTTTAGAACATTTACATGGTGTACTTTGTGAAGCCCATGTAAAGTCCCATGTGAAACCTATGGAATTACCATGTGACACCCATGTACATAGTTTGCTGTTGTTTGTTTGCATGTTTGTCAATTCATCACTTCTTGAAAATTTGGTAAAATGTTTTCCACGTGCTCTACATGTGACACGTGATCACATGTAGGAAACACGTTTTCCACGTGTCCACACATGAATTCATGTGGTTTTTCTGTAAGGGTCACTACTTTCATTTAAGTTTTTTAATCTGTGAAAACAACCCCTGGAAGGCATGTGAAAAGAATATTTTTTCTTTCTTTGTTTCTCCCAAGAAAAAAAAAAAATCACTCGTCTTTCAGGGCTTCACAGGTCCAGAATCTTTGAATATGTGAATATTGTTAATTCAAAAAGTTAATCTGTTGGACACGAGATGCGTCTTATTTCACTGACATGTCCATTCTCAGTGTACGGTGTGTGACCTAGAGATTTCAAGTTTCCATATCATTCCTTTGTAGGTTTCATAATGGACCATGATTGGCTTCCAGAGTCCTGCTCATACACACAACTGAGAAACTTTTCTCCTTCAGCACAGTGTCAAACTGTGCAGTCTTCTACCTAAGTATGACACTTAAGACACTTTCATTTCTACTACTTAAGTGTTGCATAGAATGTCTTAAAAAAGGTTTCCAGAGGTACCGTTTTTTTCCCCCTTTGGTCTAATGGTTTACTGACTTTAAGTGATTCCTTAAGTATAAGACTAAGAGAAGGGGAAAAGCTTAAATACTTAAGTGAACATTTTAAAGAAATCTTAAGGAGAAGACTTAAGGGTGTTTTGTGCAACTGTTTTTATTTTAAGGAAACCTTCACTCAGACTTTCAGGAAACTCTGAACGTGAGGTGTTTTGTGCAGCCAGAACCAGATGTTTGTTGAAGTCTGCTCTTTGTAAATTCACAAGAAGTCCATTTGAAGCTCCTTGTGGATTCGACCAGAAGTCTCCAGCCTCCTGGTAATGTCACAGTTAAGTCTGAGAGTGTGGGGACTTTGGGACTTTTGGTTTCAGCTTCACTCTGTTGCTGATGTTTTTACTGTGGTTTGATGATTCTCAGGTCAGATGCTGGACGCCTGAGCCCTGGCTGAAAAGTCTTGTTTCAATAACTTTTCATATTTCACATTAATGGTATTTGTACTGATCTGTTCAAATTTGTTATTTTTGCAGATGATACAAATTTATTTTGCTCTAGGGGAAATTTAAAAAAATTTTTGCACGGTGTTAAAAGGGAGCTGGAAATTCTCAAAACTTGGTTTGATGTCAATAAATTGTTTCTTAATACTGAGAAAACTACGTTTATGGTTATTAAATTACTACTAAATTCCTCAGGGTTGTGATTGATCATAAACTAACATGGAGACAAAATTGATTATATCAAAGAAAAAATATCTATATCTAAATCAATAACAATTCTGTATTAAACCGGGGGATATACTAAAGAAAAAGACCTTGTATTTAATTTACTGCTCACTTCTACTTCCCTATATAACTTATTGTGTGGAAGTGTGTGTGTGTGTGTGTTGGGGGGTGGGGGATTGACCTTTAAAACGAGTAGTTTTAATAAGGCTGGTTCCTGTGATCACACTGATCAATTTTCTGAATTCTCATGCTGGAATTTAATTATTTTGTTTATTATAAAATAATGTAAATATTGTTCAGAGTTAAAACAAAGTCTCTCTGTGTATAAAAGTTTTTTTTCAATTCTGACATGAAAGGTGTTTGTAAGTTTAATGTACAAAAAGATAAGATGTTTCTATTGTTGAGGTTAAATTATGGAACGATGGTGATATAAATTGAAAAATGAGTCATTCGCTTTTGGTTTTCAAAAGAATGGTTTACAGTTACAGGAGTTATTTCTGATAGTTATAAGTATGAATGATTTTCTTTTCTTTTTAGTGGGTAGCTTAATTGATAAGAATTTTGCTTCAGTCTGAGCCTGTTCAATGAAACTCATGTTTGACCTTTGTGCAACAGGCTGTGCAAAGCTTCAGTACTCCTGATATCCCATGATCCCCCAGCGATCCGTTACCAGTCTTCTTCTTCACTGATAGCACATTGCTGAGTTTCCTGTTTATACAGTGTCCATGTGCACAGTAACAACAAAACAGGAATCCTCTTGTGAAAAATATCATTCCATGGCCACACGCGTGTCCAACAGCGGTCAGAATATCAAAATCCACATCCATAATTCAACATCATTTGCTTTATTTGCAGTATATAAAACAGTCATTCACTACTCAAAAAGGAAAGAAGAATGAACAGAGGTGAACGTTTTTCCTTTGTGTTGCCATTTACGTGTGAGACTTCTGTCGCTTCCAGAACCTCTTGACCTCGCTGTGTCCCTGCGGCGTCACCACCATCACCCTGTGAGCCACGTCCTGCCACACCAGACAGCCCAAACCCTGCACCACAACAACTACATTAAACAGCAGCAGATACAGCATCAGCACTTCACTGACAGGGATCTCATTAAGGAGGTCCAAAGGCAGGAACAGCTGGAACTGCAAAAGAGCTGATGATTATGTCATGAGGCCGTAACAGAGCAGCAG